ACCATGTTGGCCAGGCTGGTCACGAACTCCTGACCTCAGGCAATCCGCCCGCCTTCGCCTCCCAAAGTGCTGGGATTACAGGCGTGAGCCACCGCGCCCAGCCAGGATCATTCTTAAAAAAACAAATTGATAATTGGGCTTCACCAAAATTTTTAAAAAACATTTTTAGGAGAATGACAAATCACAGATGAAGAGAAAATGTTTGCAAAGCATGTATCTGATAAAGGACTTATATCCAGAATATTCACAGCACTTTTACTTTTAATAGCCCAAAACTGGAAATAGCTGAAATGTCTGTGAACAGATGAATAAACAAATTATGGTTTATACATGCAATTGGAAACTACTCAGCAACTTAAAAAAAACAAACGAACTATCGATATTGATGCACGTAGTAACATGGATGAATCTCATAATAATGCTAAGTGAAAGAAGCAAACCAAATAAAAATACATACTGGATTATTCCATTTATGTAAAACTCTACCAAATGCAAAATAGTTGATAGTGACAAAAAAACAGTGTTTGCCTGGGTTGGGAGTGAGGCCCAGGGAAGGATGAGAGGAATTACAATGGGATGCTGGGAGGCTTTGGGAGATTATGTGGATGTGTTCACTGTCTTGATTGTGGTGATAGTTTCATGGAGATACACATTTCTAATCTTATCAAATGGTACTCTTATTAATTTTCTTTGAAACCTCAGTAAAAGAGGGTTAAAAATAAAGAATTGTAGGCCGGGCACGGTGGCCTGTAATCCCAGCACTTTGGGAGGCCAAGGCGGGCGGATCACGAGGTCAGGAGATCAAGACCATCCTGGCTAACACAGTGAAACCCAGTCTCTACTAAAAATACCAAAAAAAAAATCAGGCGTGGTGGCAGGCGCCTGTAGTCCCAGCTACTTGGGAAGCTGAGGCAGGAGAATCGCTTGAACCGGGAGGTGGAGGTTGCAGTGAACCAAGATCATGCCACTGCACTCCAGCCTGGGCGACACAGCAAGACTCCATCTCAAAAAAAATTGTATCCCAAAGGCTTAGGAATCAGTTGTGTTAAATATATATGCTCAGTAAGCCAAATAAATTGACATATTTGATATTTTTTTAAATCTTCATTTTAAAATGTTAGTGAATCAGGTACAAAATTCATATACATGTTGATATCAGCTGATCCCAGTTTTTCTTATGACCTCTTTTTGTCAAAGACTATGCCATTAATATTAAGAACAATTGTCTATTTGTTGTAGCAAAAAGCATACTGAGTTTACCTAAAAGCTGATTTTAGTGACACTGACATTAATAAGCAGTGATAAACACTGGGTCAGTCAGTCCATACACTGATCTTACCAAGTTGTAAATACATTCTTTCAAAAGAATATAGCATCTAAATATACTCTACAAAGCATTTATGACAACTTTTAAATTTAGTAAGCTCCCAAAAATTCAGTGTCTTAGGATATGGATTGAAATTATGATTTTTGATTTTCAGATATTTTTGCCTGTTTAATTATAAGACAAATCGGTGAACATAGCAATTAATCTGAAGTTGCTTATAGCTTTTTTTACATGAGACAGATTAGGTTATAGTAGTGATCAGTAGTAGAATTGATCGCTGCCTCATACTGTGTGTTTTAGAAATTTGACAAAAGCAAGTTGACAGTACATCCACTAGAAAATTCATGGCACGCCGGGCGTGCTGGCTCACGCCTGTAATCCCAGGACTTTGGGAGGCCGAGGCAGGCGGAGCACAAGGTCAAGAAATCAAGACCATCCTGGCCAACATGGTGAAACCCTGTCTCTATTAAAAATACAAAAATTAGCTGGGTGTGGTGGTGCGCACCTGTAGTCCCAGCTACTTGGGAGGCTGAGGCTGGAGAATCGCTTGAACTGGGGAGGCAGAGGTTGCAGTGAACCAAGATCATGCCACTGCACTCCAGCCTGTCGTCAGAGCGAGATTCCATCTCAAAAAATAAAATAAAATAAATAAAATTGTTAGCAGTCATTTTCTACTCATCCATTCCACCAAAATAATAATAATAATAATTGTCTTTGTAGTAAGACTACCCTTTACCCATCCTGAGGAAACTAGATCCCTAATGTTAGGCTAGGCAAATTATTGAGCAGGAAAGATTGTGGATAATTTTGCTAATAAGGGATCTTCTCACTGAAATATTGAAAGATTTTTGATTTTTCAAGCATTTTTAAGAAGCTACAATTACTCCTAGCTATAAAGATCCTGCAAAATACAGAAGTCCGCTGGAGCCAGTAGGTAATGGAACGACTCAGCATCCACAGAGGCTTATGACTCGCACATCCGTGTGGGGAGGGCGGTAACCCCTTCCAGTCCGCCACCTTTCTCACAGCTAAGTCTAGAAAGCCTCATTAGGGGACATTTTAACCTGGTAGAATTGTTTTAGGAGCGAAGTTGTTTATAGTCTTGTTTATTCTTATGTGACTCTACCGGATTTCCATTTAAGAAAATTTTTTACCTGTTACATCAATTTTTCTTACACTAAGAGACTAAGATGGCTAGTCTTCTGCTTTATCAACGTGGGATAATCGAAGCTCACTTTAGTCTTCTGTGAGAGGCTTGCATTTTTTAAAGAAAAAAGGACAAGTCAGGAGAGGGACAATTGCAAATGTCGTTTTTCAGGGATTTTCATTGGTTTACAGAAATAACAGTGATTGGCGATTAGATTGCTGTTTGAACCACAGGGTATGAGCTGTGGTGTCCAGCATATGGCATTGTTAGGTTAATTTATAGCTATTGGTGGTGTCAGTCAGAGCCCAGGGAGCAAGCAGCTTAGAAATGATTACTTAACTCAGCTGGGGGGATAGGGGGACATGACTGCTGTCTCATTCCAATGCCTCTTTGGGCCTGATCATTTAAAGGGGGTTGCATTCCTCAGATAAGCTTCTTTTCTTTCTCAACCCTAGGGGATTGGTGGTGTCACTCACATTTTACAGATGGACAAGAGCACTTAAGTGACAGGCAGACCCAAGTTCAAACCCAAACCTGTCTGCCTTCAAATTGTCCATCACCTTCTACTCCGTCACACTCCCTCCCACGACTGTAGCTTGACAATTTGTGAATGTAACATGAAAAACACTCTTGAATTAAGCCTTTATTCAAAATTGCCTGCATAAGACCACTTGTTGAAGGAGTGTTCTAAAGGAAGAAGGAGGGAATTTTTATAGAGCTTTAGCAGGAGAAGTCAGCTGAAGTCTAGCTTGAGTCAGAAACAACTGGCCAAAAAACAAAAAAAAAAAAACAAATTATTCTTGCCAATTAGCAACCATTGTTTGAGCCATTTGGATTTATCAAGATAGGTGAGGAAGAAATTAGGGACTGAGGTCATGAGCCAGAGGGCAGGGAGGAACAGCTCCTGGGGACAAGGAGAGGCAAGGCTGTGAGAGCTACACTGGAGCATTTGTAGTCCTTCAGGATCCCCTACACCAACATCTGGGATTCTTTTTTTTTTTGAGACAGAGTTGGCCCTGTCACCCAGGCTGGAATGCAGTGGCGCAATCACAGCTCACTGCAACCTCTGCCTCCTGGACTCAAGCAATCCAACCTCAGCCTCCCAAGTAGCTGGGACTACAGGTGTGCACCACCATGCCCCGCTAATTTTTGTATTTGTTTTGTAGAGACAGGGTTTCGCCATGTTGCCCAGGCTGGTCCTGAACTTCTGAGTTCAAGCTATCCACCCGCCTCAGCCTCTCAAAGTGCTGGTATTTCAGATGTGAGCCACAATACCAGGCCTGGATTCTTCTTAATCTAGATGTAAAGGTTCACAAAGAAGGATCTGCTTCTGCCCACCACTACACAGCAGAATGTGTCTGGAAAGAGAAATTCTTTGCCTTAGGATTGTGTAATGCTCCCACCAATGTGTTGTTGCAGTCATGATGCTTAATGAAAAAAGCACTGCCCCTGGAGCTGGAAAACACGGACAGTCTCTGAACTTTTAACCTGTCTGAACCTATTCCCTCTAGGTGGCTGAAATGAGGTGATGTGAAGCAGTTTGTACAAAGTAAGAGCACTAGTTAGATATTAAGTATAATGCTAATATTAATTATTACTAAGATCATTTGGACTAAGATTTCTTGTAGTGGGGAGATTGTGGACTGCCTGATATATTTCATCAGAAGAGAAGGCTAGAGTTAAGCAGATGCATCAGAAAGCCGAAACACTTCAGAAAAAACCCTCTCAGTAGAGAAAGTGATATTAGATTCCTGTTGCAAAAGATCTAGTGCCAGCTAAATTCTCTTTTGCTTTCTTGATAAAACAGGAGAATTGAGAATTAAATGGAAAGGTAATCCTTTTAAAGACCTCAGAAGATGGATCTGTTTGTTTCAATCTGCTTTTGAGGTAGGCTGCTATAAAAGAGATACTTGTGGTATTACTGTGCCTTAGTGCAGTAGCATAATAAAGAAATGCAGAACCATCTGCTTTGTAACTAATGTTAATTTTATTAAGGGTATAAATTTGGGGTCTTTCTTGTATTTGACTTTCTATTCCTTCCATTTTAAATTCTCACTTTAGACAACGAAAAGGGCTTATTGAAAGTATTCAAAGTTTGTGTCCATGGCTGAGCATGGTGGCTCATGCCTGTATCCCACCACTTTATGAGACCGAAGTGGGAGGATCACTTGAGCCCAGGAGTTCAAGACCAGCCTGGGCAACATAGTGAGACTCCCATTTCTACCAAAAAATAATAAGTTAGCCAGGCGTGACGGCACACACTTGTAGTCACAGCTACTCCAGAGGCTGAGCTGAGAGGATCGCTTGAGCCCAGGAGGTCAAGGCTGCAGAAAGTCATGGTCACGCCACTGCACTCCAACCTAGGCAACAGAGTGAGACCCTGTCTTTAAAAAGGAAAAAAAATATATATATATATATATATGTGTGTGTGTGTGTGTGTATATATATAAAAGCATAGGTTCATTTTAATGTCAATAAATATGAATTCAAAAATAATTTTATTAGGTTTTACTTTTCTTTTATTAGGTTGTTTGCTATGTCTTTGGCTGATCTAACAAAAACCAATATAGATGAGCAGTTCTCCAGCGTGGCATCAGAAAACAATAGGAGATCTGCAGAATGCAAGAGAAGCCCGGGCACAGGCAATTTTTCACGGAACAGTAATGCTTCCGATAAGAGTGTTGATTATAGCAGGTCTCAGTGCTCCTGTGGAAGTTTAAGTTCTCAGTATGATTATTCAGAAGACTTTCTCTGTGATTGTTCAGAAAAGGCCATTAATAGAAATTATTTAAAGCAGCCTGTGGTTAAAGAAAAGGAGAAGAAAAAGTACAATGTTTCTAAAATCTCCCAATCTAAAGGTAAGGAGTAAAATTTCCCAAGCAAGACCAAATTTCTGATCATAATGATGTTATTTTCCTGCACTAGTGTTTGAAGTGGTTCATACTCAGTTTTATTGTTTTCCCATATTGTAAATGTGTATTATAGGTGAACTTTTCTAGAAGAAATTAGGAAATAGAGAAATTAAGAATAATTATAAAATAACAGAAAGGCTTCAAATGTAAAGCCTAGCCCCTGCATAGCTTACCCTACTGGAGCCTACTAGTGAGGTTAGTTCCGTTTTTAGTTAACAGGTGGCCTTGTTACAGAGTACCACAATACTTGGATTTCACTGGCTTCTTGCCTTTCATCTCAGCTGAAGAATCAGTGTTTGAATCGCCAGTGAAATGTAAATACCTGTCTCAACACCCCAAGAGGATGGTCTCCAAGTCCGGTGAGGCATATTGGCAAAGACCATCTTTTGAAATGGAGATGGTTCAAAAGGCTGTTAATAATGTCATTTCTTTGCAGATTTTACCAATTCTATCAGGTCCCAGCTGTCCAAATTGGAATTCGCTTGTGCTATCTTTGATCTCCTTTCTTCCTCCTTCCCTGCCCAGACTATAATTCCTTCCTCTCATTTTAGGCAATCTTGAGCTCATAAGTATTCCTCATATAGAAATAGCTGGAGCTCTTGTCCACATTGACAATCAGAGCACTTCAGTCAACAGGTGGACGATAAAGGGCCTGCTGTTTGGGGGGCACATCTGCCACTGTCATGTCCACACTGCATCTTGCGTCCCCAGCCTGCTGTTACCAGCTGTGTCCAGGACCCTCTGTGCCACTTCTGGAACACCCAGAATCTTCAGTTCCCCTGCTATAGGGCAGGGATTCTTTATCTAAGACACATGGCTGTGAACCCCATGAAATTCTATGCATTTTTTTGTGTCTATGTGTGTTCGTAAACTTTTCTAGAAGGGCCTGTGCCTTTCACCAGAGTCTCAAAAGGTTAAATGTTACTTTTCTAGAGAGGTGGGGGTCCTACCTCCACTGGCAAGGCCCAAGGCAGGAAATGAAAAGTCCGCTCCTCCTCTCATGCCTGGACTCCATCAAAAATGACATCATGGTTAGATCCTACAAATACAGAATTCCTTATCCACATTTGAAATTTACAAGTCTCCAAAAACCCAACATCTTTCATATCCTTGGCATCAAAGTTGATTTGGCAACAAAAACCTTATTTGAACTAACATGAAGCAGATCTTTACTTAGTTCACTTAGTGTGAAGAGTCATTATATTTCACTGCAAAAGTATAGTTTCATTAAAGGGTGGTGTTCCGGACCCCATGAGAGAAATGTGGAAAATACCATATATGCACTCACCTTTAAAACCCCCCAAATTCTGCAACATACCAGTTCCAAGGGTTTACAATAAGAGATCTTGAATCTATATACTACATTTTATATTGATCGTAAGCTTTTGTGGGATCATGCAAGAGGGCAGTTAGCATTTATAAAACTTTCTACAAGAGAGAAACTGCATTTTGAGTTCTAAGTACCTTATAATTTAGCTTTTTAAAGCTGATTCCTCATTTATTTATTCAACAAATGCTTATTGAGTTCTTTGTGCAAGATGCCTGTTTATAAATTGAGAACAACCTAAATTAATTCAGTTACTTCACAGGAGACCAGAATCCTAAATTCCATTATCCAGAAGAGTAAAAGGTTTGCTCTTACTTGGGTGTCCTTTTATATATTAATACTCTGAAATTCTTTTAAATAAATCTTGCATGCATCTTTAACTCAGATTTTTATGTCCCAGGAAACCCTTGCCCAGCGTATGATGAACGTAAAATACTAATTGCAACCTCAAGCTTTGTCACAGAACAATAAAGTATTTCCTCGTCTTTTTCTTTTATTCCCCAGTTCATGTTTTGCCAGTGTTTGCAGCAGCAAGTAATTTCTTCCACCCTGGTGTCATATAATTCTAACCCAAAGCAAAGAGTCTTAATGTTTTAGCCAGTACAGCCCCTTCTCAAGCAAATGTTCAATTAAAAGTAGCTCTCTGACCCTAAGGGCAGGTAATGCTGAATGAGGAACCACCAACAGAGATTCAGAATTCACCAAAGAACAGTAACATCAGAGATTATTTTCAATTCCCATCTTAGAAAATTGATGAAAGCAAATTTTATGGCAGAAAGACATTTCATGGAGAAAATTACGAATATGAAATGAGGACTTCAATTTAATAGAATTTTTGCTTTGGTCAAACATTGGAAATTTACTTAACTCATTGTAAATAGCAAGCAATATAGTCATGCAATTTGCTTTTCAAAGATTATCCTTCTTTTCTAGAAAATGTCTTTTCAGAACTCTTTCAGTTACGTATCCTGTTAAAATTGCTTCCTTGACAGATTTTCTTTGTCAATACAATGCCAAAAACATGTCATGGTCATTCAAGACATTAGTATCCAAAAAAAAGTTAATTTACCACATCCAAATGCTTGGAACACCTTTTGCCCTGTTGTCCTTGGTCAGGTATAGGTGGACAACCTAAGGCAGTGTTGAAGAGACACCTTCTCTAGCAGGCTAACTATGGAAACTACCGAGAACAGGAAGGGGAAAGGCTCCTCCTTTGAACCTCTTCTTCACCCTGGTTCGTGGAGAAAATGAGTTCATCTTTGTTAGGGTAAAATACAGTGCGGACCCCCCAGTCCGTATGTCAGAAGCAGAGCTGGAGTGAAGGTATGGAGGAGCACAGGGATAGAATGGGACAATGAGACCAAAGGGGACAATGACAGGAGAGGGAACTAGGATGAGGCCAGGCAGAAGAGGAGGAGGAAACAGCATGGACTAAGGAGGACAAGAGAGCTTCTACAGTAAGGGTTTGAGGAGGAGGGGGGCCTGGGGAGACAGGCTGGGAAGGAAGACAGGCCTGTTTGTGGGTGAAGTGAGCATGGGACCATTCTTAGAACTGTTCAGAAGAGCATACGTCATTATACATAATGTGCAGATGCCGTTTTGGCAACTATGGACTTAAATTTATGTTTGTGGTGAATTAAGTTAACTTGAGTGAATGTTTTAATTCAGTGGTTTAAAACTTAGTTGTCTTAAGAATAGTCATTCAGCTAAATCTGCTTCTATTATTTGTGAAATGGGATTGAAATTATAAATTATACCATTCTTATGTGTGGGTTAGGATAATGAGATATAAAATCGTTAAGGAATACACCCTATTTCAATTTTCCATAGCCTTTATAGTTACACAAGTATGTGTGATGGATACAGTATGAATTTGTTACATATCCCTCAAATGCAAGTGGTATACTTACCTTTCTGAAGCCAACAAACCTGGCTTGTCCTCCCCACCCACTCACTAGGGTAGACAGGAAATTCAATCTCAGACACGTTTGGGGAATGAGGGAATATGAGGGGGCAGGGATGTGGAAAGGGCCTTACACAAATAATATTGGGGGAGGAGCCTCTGCCTTTCATTTTTACCGCTTACGTGTTCCTTGTCCAAGCCATGTGATCTTTAAAAGGCCAGCCCCTCCCCTTTCCATAGCATCCATGCCCTCTGTGCACTTCTTGACTCCTGGGGCCTTGGCCAGAGCTCCTGTGGCCATGGCGTTTAGTCCCTCGGCACCCTCTAATGCCTCTGCCCTCCCATCACTTGAGCATGGCATAAGGGGAATATAAGCCTCCAGTGCCCGTGGATCCCATCATCCATCCTCTCATCTCAGTGAAATCCCTATCTCCTCCAGGGTCAGAGCACCTAAGAGCTGGAAGACATTACAAGTTGGGGGTCAGGTTCAGTCATGCTGGCCATAGTGTAGAACATGTCAGTCTTTGCCCACCCCTATTTTAAACCAGCCTGATCCATATGGCCTGGGTCTAGAGCTTCCCTAGTCAGTGCCCAGAGTATTAAAGTGTACGGGCCTCAACAAAACCACAGACACCTCTTCGCAGGCCTTCTAGTAGATGTCCTAGAGGCTGGCCTGCTCTGCTTCCCACTTAGTGTGCTCAGAAGCCTATTCTAAAATACTCAATATTCAGCCATAGCCCCTACTAAACTGTGGGAAAATAAATACACTTGAAGGCATAATTGCAAAGATAGGCCACCAGTTACTGATGTGATACTGTGTTGTATAATCTTATGAGTTCTTTCATAGTTATGATTCAAATGCTTTATCTCCAGAGCATGCTTTGGCTCTCTTAGTTCATTGTTTCTATCACAGGTAGAATTGCCTGTTCCCACCCAACACAGACAGTGGGCTCTGTCTCACCACTTCCTAGCTGTGTGCTCATTGACAAGGGACATCCCCAAGCTTCAGTGTGTTTATCTTTAAAATGGGATAATAATACAGTGATTTATACATGTATTCAACATACTCAAATTCAATTATGTAAGCTTGGTGCTAAGTGTGATGTTTTTTAGAGACTTTTGCTTAAGACAGACCCCTGGGCCGGGCACGGTGGCTCACGCATGTAATCCCAGCACTTTGGGAGGCCGAGGCAGGCAGATCACGAGGTCAGGAGATCGAGACCATCCTGGCTAACATAGTGAAACCCCGTGTCTACTAAAAATACAAAAAAAATTAGCCCTGCGCAGTGGCGGGCGCCTGTAGTCCCAGCTACTCGGGAGGCTGAGGCAGGAGAATGGTGTGAACCCGGGAGGCGGAGCTTGCAGTGAGCCGAGATCGTGCCACTGCACTCCAGCCTGGGCGACAGAGCGAGACTCTGTCTCAAAAAAAAAAAAGGTAGACTCCTGAACACATGCCAATTACTTCATTTGGTGCCCAGCCAAAGTAACAGGAAAAATTGACTGTGTTGGATTTATTCAGAGATGGAAAATCAGTATCTGTACAAATAGATAGACTCTTATATAATTTGATGACCTTTTGAGGGTCATTTTGAATATATAAGTTCTTTACATTGGGCTCTCATGTTACACTCTAATTACCCTTAACATGTTGTTGAAAGGATTACATCAGATAATCTACAGAAAGCATTTAGTTTAATGCCTGACATATGATAAGCACTTAGTCAGCTATTATCATGGGGTTGGTTGGTTGGTTGGTTGGTTGGTTGGTTGGTTGGTTTTTGAGACAGAGTCTCACTTTGTCACCCAGGCTGGAATGCAGTGGTGCAATCATAGCTCACAGCAACCTCGAACTCCTGAGCTCAAGGGATCCTCCCACCAAGGCTTCCCGAGGAGCTAGGACTATAGGCATGTGCCACCAAGTTAGGCTACTTTTTAAAATTTTGTAGAGGCCAGGCACAGTGGCTCATGCCTGTAATCCCAGCACTTTGGGAGGCCGAGGAGGGTGGATCACTTGAGGGTCAGGAGTTCGAGATCAGCCTGGCCAACATGGTGAAACTCCATCTCTACTAAAAATACAAAAATTACCTGGGTGTGGTGGCAGATGCCTGTAATCCCAGCTACTCGAGAGGCTGAGGCAGGAGAATTGCTTGAACTCCGGATGCAGAGGTTGCAGTGAGCCAAGGTTGCACCACTTCACTCCAGCCTAGGCAACAGAGGGAGACTCCGTCCCAAAAAAAAATAAAAATAAACATAAAAAATTGTGTTTTTTTTAGAGACGGGATCTGACTCTGTTGATCAGGCTGGTCTCAAACTCCTGTCCTCAAGCAGTCCTCCTACTGCAGCCTCCCGAAGTGCAGAGATTACAGACATGAGCCTCTGCACCTGGCCTATTATCACAGTTTTTAGTCTAGCTGTTATAATAGAAATCTAAGTACAGATTTTAGAGTCAAAGAAGACCTGGTTTTCAATCCATTCTGTGTCACTTTGTAGCTATGTAACCTTGGACAAATGACGTAAAATCTCCAGCTATAAAATATATTACAACTGACCTTGAATAATTGTATTAAATGAGATATTTATATGTAAACCACCTAGCCTAAAGCATGGATATTGATTAAATATTAGTTTTTTTCCCCTTCTAATTACACTTATGCTTGTGTGTATGTGTGTGGTGTGTGTGCAGGGGGGCGTGGGAGGGCGATTATGCATATGTGCATATTTGCATATCTGTATATATTACTAGTAATAAACTGGATTATCTGCTTACACAGGCCAGAAGGAAATCTCAGTTGAAAAAAAGCACACCTGGAATGCATCACTCTTTAATTCTCAAATCCATATGATTGCCCAAAGAAGAGATGCTATGGCTCATCGAATACTCTCAGCAAGGCTTCATAAAATTAAAGGACTAAAAAATGAATTAGCTGATATGCATCATAAATTGGAAGCCATCCTTACAGAAAACCAATTTTTGAAACAACTTCAGCTTAGGCATTTGAAAGCTATAGGAAAATATGAGAACTCACAAAATAATCTACCTCAAATTATGGCTAAACATCAGAATGAAGTAAAAAATTTAAGGCAACTACTTAGGAAATCCCAGGAAAAGGAAAGAACGGTATCTAGGAAACTTAGAGAAACTGACAGCCAGTTACTGAAGACTAAAGATACCCTGCAGGCACTGCAGAAACTCTCTGAAGACAAAAACCTTGCCGAAAGGGAAGAACTCACTCGTAAATTATCTATTATCACAACAAAAATGGAGGCAAATGACAAAAAAATACAGGTCTGTATTTCAGGAGCCCAGACAGTTTAAGATTTCGAAGTGAATAGAGAGAGGGTGTGAATGAATCCTGGATGCGCCCCCTCTGTAACAAAGTGTTACTAACTGCTTCGCTTGGCGTGCTACACTAAATAATTATTGTCTAATAGAGGGCAGGGTTTGAAGGAAAAACAGAAGCAGCTCAAACTAGAAATGTTCATCTGTTGCAGTGCACAAGAGTTCACTCTGTGGCTGGGCTGGTTTATGTGGAAATGACCATTGCACAAGAGTTCACTCTGTGGCTGGGGTGGTTTATCTGGACACGACCATTCTCTAAGAGAGTACAGCTACAGTGCTAAGGGACTTTTTCCCTGTGCTTTAAAGATTGCATTGTGTTACGTGAAACCTCTTTGAAGTCAACCCTCTACCTTAATCTATTGATTAAAAGGCTACTTCCCTAAAAACCTACTCAGTGCATCCGTTCAGTACCTTTTGGATTCTCCCTCACCATTTTGGCCAGGCATTACCACACAAACATTTGTAGTTATTTTCAAAATAGCAGTTTTTCCCAGATAATGTTCCTGGTAGTAGGGAAGAAAAAGGAATTAAAATAATTAAAGAGATGACTGGATTAATTTTCCTCAATGGTACATGGTTGTCAAAAGCCTGGGGATTACATTATAAGAGATGACTTGGGAGAAGGAATTGATATCATATTAAGAATTCTCCTGCATGTCTTAACATTAGATAGTTTGAGTCTGTTTGGACATAAACATAAATGGAATTAATTTAGGGTTTAATTATTTAATATTTGATGCTGAAACACAAGTATTTTCTATGATCTTGAAGTAAGTAAATATCTGGTTCATTTCCTCCACGTTTTTATCTCAATTATTTCTTCTGTTGTTAAAATTCTCTATTTTCCAAAAAATTTTTTTCACATGAAATTGATATGTGATCTACAGAAAATAATGAGCAACCTCATTTTTCACTCTTGTATACCAAAGTGATATTATTTGGCCTTTTAGGTAATATTGTATTCACCTTAGCGTATGTCTGTCATGCAAAAGCAAATCTATTTTTATATATATATATCTAAATAGTTCATGTTTTTATATCCGTACATAAAACCAAAACAAATTCCATAACTATTTTCTTTGATACAAAAAGCACTTATCAAGTATGAGAAATTTCTGTTTGGTTGTAGGCATTTAGTGGAGGAAAACTGTTTTGTGAACCAAAACATGTGACTTCTGTAACATGAATGTTTTAGGGAGTGGTATTTTTAGTGATTCTTTCCCCCTTTTAGCTTTCCATGTCTTCCACTTTTCCTGTCTGGGAAAGTACTGCTGTTATAATGGAGGAGGTCCTACTTTATGTTAAAACAAAAACAAATGGTCCTTTTGGTAAGCCTTCTGTCAAGTCCGGATCTAATAGTTCTCAATAAAACAGTTCTCATTCCCGAGAGCAGATGAATATGTTTTGGATGGCTATTGAGTTAAATCAGTCATTTCATTGCCTTATAGTCCATCAGTGTGGATGGATGTGGTGGTTTGAGTCCCTTTTATAACATTCAGTTTCTGTTGTCTGGGAATGACCATCCATGATGTCTACTGATTTCCAGGATCTGGTCAGAATTGTTAAATCGGGTGGGTCACAGTGGCTCACGCCTGTAATCCCAGCACTCTCGGAGGCCGAGGCGGACAGATCACCTGAGGCCAGGAGTTCAAGACCAGCCTGGCCAACACAGCAAAACCCCTTCTCTACTAAAAATACAAAAATTATCTGGGTGTGGTGGCGTACACCTGTAAACCCAGCTACCCGGGAGGCTGAGGCAAGAGAATCACTTGAACCCAGGAGGCGGAGGTTGCAATGAGCTGAGATCGCACCACTACATTCCAGCCTGGGCAACAGAGTGAGACTCCAACTCAAAAACAAAAAAGAATTTTTAAATCAAATTTTAGAGTATGTAAAAAACAGGTTCAAAACGTGTGATATTTGTTCTCTAGAGCTGGGATCTGGGATTTGGGGGCTTTCGGTTATACTTCATTCTAATATATGTCCCCTATATAAGCCATTCACTAAAATTGTATTGAAAATGTGCACTTTTTATAAATGTAGTTAGTTCCATGATAATTGAAGTTGTTAATATACTAACTTGGTTGCAGAATAGTTAAAATATATACTGTTTTCAGAGCTTGGAAAAACAACTGAGGTTGAACAGCAGAGCCTTTAGTCGGCAGCTGGCTATTGAGACTCGGAAGACTTTAGCAGCTCAAACAGCTACCAAGACTCTGCAGGTGGAAGTAAAATACCTTCAACAAAAACTTAAGGTATTTCTTTTAAAACAAAATGTAAGAATGAAATTCTGTTTCCCGAAATATATGAACTATTTATGCCCATTATATATTTAAGTGATTTTTTATTTTATATCTATATATACAAAAGTCCCCTCTCCCCTTTGCAGGGGGCCTGGGCCCCCATCCAC